CAGAGCTTTAGGGAAGGTCTTTATGTTGATAAATAACTGATTAAAAGACAGGGAACAGAAGGTAAGTAGGTTAGCCAGACAGCACTAGCAATGGAGGGAGGTCATTAGCAGAGTTCCACAGGGATTTTTGTAGGGGATGCAGTTATTCGTCATATTACTAAGCAACCTGGGAAAATGGATGAGCAGTGAGGTGAGAAAGCTTTATAATGATATTACCTTATGCACAGTAAAAAGGATGATGGCTTGCTGGATGTGAAGAATTAGGAAAGGTGCTTATGGAAGAGAGTCCCTAGGAAATAAAATGGCAGATGAAATTCTTCATAGTTGAATGCAAAGTGGTGCAGAAAGAGCAAAAAATATTCCAAGATCAAGAGGCATTATATACACAAAATTGCATGCATTCCAAGAGAGCATTAGAGGACCCTACCACATACTATTGGCTTGTTTTTACTCTCGTGGTAGGCTTCTGCTTATAGTCACAGTTTGAGGTAGGATACTAGTCTGGGTGGATTTTTGGTCTGACCAGGTGGAGGAACTGGGCTTTTTTTACAGATGTAGCCTGAGATGAATATGGCTATAATACGGAATAATACGGCTCATGTGACAGAAAAAACATTCTGGTTTTCTGGTTTAGGACTCTACAGATTTACTGTGTCCATGCATGGAAGCAACCATTAACTTAAACCTGCCAACTATTGATGTGCACAGCATTAAGAAACCTGAGGAAGGTTTCAGCCCTTTAGAATATTACAAACCAGCCACAGGCCCCTCTACTGGTTAGACTGGTACTGCCCAGATAGGACATGTTAATCATGAAAAATGGGAAAATACAGGAAGTTTCTTCACCAGAGGATGAAGACAAAAATATTTAACAGAGGAATGTGAATAAAAAAGAACAAAACAAAAAACCACAGCCAAAATCTGTTTCTTTCACGATAAACAAAGCCAGAACACAAAATAGTGTGAGGTTTTCCCGTGGAATGATAAGGCTGAGAAACTGGAGCTTTTACAGCTAATGGTGAAAATCTCAGAGAACAGAAAATCCTTCTTGCATAAGATCAGATAATGAAGTGACTCTTTTTCCCTAAGAGACATCACAGAAGCTCAGGCAACTTGTGGGAGTCATTATCCAGTTCCACTAATGAGGAAAGGGAGGTGTAGATTCACTACTCACTACTAAACTTGTGGAATCCCAATACTATGTATGACTGCAAGAAGTCTTAGGCAGGAGGTCTCTACCTCCATATCCATCCATCCATCCAAGTGGATATGGTGTGTCTTGGCCAGTGCTGGATCAGCAGAGCTATAGTGATCCCTCACTCTGCCATCCAGACTATGCTGGAAGCACTACTTCCTAACTTCCTACTAATTCATCTGATAAGATGATGAAAGAGAAATAGTCCCAAAATTCTTCATTGTCCCACACAAGGGAAAAGTCAAACTGAAACCAAGCAAACGTGTCAAAAAGAACAGTCAGGAATTGCTACAATGATTCAGTTCACACTCATTGTGTCAAGTACTGTGCTAAAGCACAGTGATGAGAAAATTCCTGGCTTCTCTTTTAAAAAAGAATGTACTGGTACATATGCAGTAAACATTAGTTTGATGAATAATATATTAAACCACCCCTAGAGTTTATAATTGTTTCTGATAACAGGAGCAGGCACAGTCTGCTGCTCAGTGATCTCTCATGTTTCCAGTTCTCTCTAGCAACTAACATGGGAAAAGAGAATATCAACCAAAATTACCATTCAGAAAGTAAATAGGAATAAGATCCCTTGTTCAGCCTGGATTCATAGAGATCAGTACCAGACACTGACTGAAGACAACTACTTCAGCTTCTGATAATCCTAGCGAGCAACATCCAAGATACAACAAACTTCTAAACTTCTACTGTTTAGACTTTTACACACATGCATATGATTTGTAGGCAGCAATATGTCTAATGCAAATGGCAATGGCAGCTGGTAAGCAAAGCTCTCCACGTGGTACGAGTATAGTTCACAGCTCAGGGCCAATCTCTGTAGAGTCCAAAAAGTCATCAGTAAAAGGCAACAGTTTTGACAGTCTGAAAGGCAACACTACTCTGTGTCACTCTTCAGTGCCACCCACTCCTGCAGCTGTCCTCTGAGCATGCCTCACTCCACGTGCTCAGGACTGTGTCCCACACAGAAACACATCTGCAGCAGGTTGCTCGTCTTCACAGACAGACCACTCTAATCGTCAGAGATTCTGCCCTCGAATCAGCTCCTTCCTCAGACTGCTTGCACTCTCCCAGAAGGCAGAAATTGCTAGTTTATGTGCTTGTCTGGGTGGAATCCAATCTTTCTTCCAAGGTGTCCTACTGTGCAAAAATCTGTGGTGTCTGCCTCAAAAGAATTCTCCGTGAGAACAATGCACTTTTTACAGGAGCAGGAGGGCATGTCAGAGCAGGTACAAGATTGCAAGATATACTTGCATGGCTTCAAAAAGGGAAAAGTTGCAGAGAGACAGCTGGTGTACTGAACCCGTCCCCTTCTTCACAGACTTCAGAATATCTAACACTTACTACAGATTTACAGTAGCAGACGCTCCTGTCCAGAGGTACAAAGGAGAAGGTTCTGTGCATGCACCCATAGCATGGCCTCATTCTCATTACACATAGTGGAAATAATATTGCTGATTTTATTAGAAATTGTGTCAGCTCCTGTCACCAAACTAGTCAGTGAGCTAGGAAGTATTGAGGAGAAAGTCTTACTTCTGCCTTTTCAGTCCAAAACAAATGATCCAAAATATATTTTCCCATTTCAACCACTTTCCTCATTTAATAAGGCACTTCTCAGTGTCCTGGAGTAATAGTATTGTTTATTGATTACTCATTTTTAAAAGGGAATCACATCTGTTTTATTTCTGCTTATTCCCAAAGTTTCCAATCAAACAGGGAATAAGATCCTAATTCTGGTATGGTTCACAGTGAAGTGAAGGCTACATCTTCATTTTTATCTTCTCCTTTGGAGTCCATGGATGGATAGTTTCTTTAAAAAAACTTCTTAAACATTAGAAAATATCAACACTTCTGTGAATGGGAAGATGTGCAAAGGTTCCTTTACATGTTTGTTTTTTCTTCTCTGTTTCAAAATAGGATGAGGAAACTTCACAAAATATAATACCACAGAAGACTCAGATCACTTTGACATCAATTCCATGCTGAGTTTTATAAGCAGAAGGTCAAGCAAATTTAAATATAAATAGCACAGTCATTTCTGTTCATATAGAATAAGATGGATGACTTAAGTTAGACTCCGTGGGAGGTGATTTGTTCCAATGTACATGCCCATGCACCAGCATACATCCAATCTCCTTTTTTACTAATGCAGGTAGGGACCTGAAATTGTAGTTTTGTTTGATACTCCCAGGATTAGATGCCCTTGAACACTGTCATTTCCATTGCCTGGTTGATATACTTCACCTAGAGATTTGCATTGCAGAAGCAATATCACTATTCTCTTTCGCTCTGAAGATCTAAACATGAATCACCACACCTCTTAATTCTCCTCATGCAATCAAAGCATTTCCTAAAACACATTGACCCTCCAATCCCATGTTATCTACTCTTCCTGAAAGCTAATAGAACCAGACTAATTTAAACAGTCTCCTCCAATCAAACCACCTCTGTAGTTTCTCCCAGTCTCTCTCCCATTCTTCAGTGATAATCCCATCTGCCACTGGAATCTGCTGTGGCACAATCCAGTTGTGACTCTACTACTGAAGAGACCTGAGAGGGTTTTGAGCACCCAGAAAATAATCAGGATTCTCATGCCTTTTGAAGCAATCATTTCCATGCTTTATACAGTGTTGCATATAACAGGCTGGTGTTTTTATGGAAACAAAAAAGAGGGCCTGAAGAAAACCCACATTACCTAATGTAATACAACTTGTCATTAATATCTCACTGGAGCCCTAAGCCACAAATGTATGATGTACATGATCTCAATTCAGCTTAGCTCATGCATCATCTCTTCTTTAGTGGAATAAAGATGTGAAAGCCCATGAGAAAAAAGCAAGCTAAAGGTATTCAGAAGTACCCATTAATTTTATTACCAATTCAGAAGAAGTCCACATTAATTGTCAACATTGGCCATGGCACCAATTCTGTGATGTCCTCTTTGTAAAGCAGATACAAATTATTTTGTCTGTACTTGCTTTTCATGGCCACCATTTCACAGAGTACATTTTGTCTTGGACTAACCACAGGCACATACTGAACAACATCCTGAAAAAATCCTTGATGCTTTTTTTCCCCCTTCTGTCTGTTGTACAGTATGTTCCAAATATGGAGGGTAGAAGACATTGTTAAAATACAATTGCTAAAAATCTTACCTACACTAATCTTAAAAATCTAACCTTAAAAATTAATTAAATTCACTTTTTATCACTTTGTGTTTAAAAAAAGGCTTTTTCTGAACAATTAAAATGTGCAGATGCTTAATTTTGTTCCCAAAAATTAGTTTTTTCCCAAAAGTTACTTGTCATTTTCTGGTTCTCTTTCACTAAGCTGATCTTTGGCTTGCACATATTTCAGAAGAAAGCCTTTTTAACCTTCAAATCCTGGCATGTAATTGGCTTGATTTCCTTCTCTCATTCCATTGTTCTCTATCATGTCTTCCACTTTAATTTTTCTTCACTTTCTAATTCTTTTCATCAGACTTTAGCTGCTACTCACTGTTTCACAGGATAACAAGTTGTGGTGCTACTTCATAGCAAAGAAGGGCCACCCTGCAGAAGTCAATGGCAAAACTCCCAACCACATTGAAAAAAAAAAAAAAAAAAAAAGTCACCCTGATACATTTTAACTGCAACTGTCCTGGAGTGTCAATTAATAGCTTGTCATTATGCATTTGTTAACTTTTTACTTTTCTGGGTTGAAACACTTAGAGAAGTTGAGTTTTCTCTCTTCTCCTCTTTCCCTTGAAAGCAGCAAACATATTCCTTTCCTTTTAAAATATAATTATGTTTCTTACCATCCACGCTGTGACAAAATCTCCCATCCAAGTCCCAACTGCAGCTACCTTCATAAAATTTTCATTTCTGATGCCCATGAAGTCTGTTATAATATATGCACTGTGGAAACAAGAACACAAACGTAAGATATACACATTTGCTCAATTTAGTTGCAAAGAAGTTGCATTAGTGACAAAATTTATGATTATCTGTGAAAGATTTCCCATTGCTAACATAATAATTTTTCTGCTAGATCTTAGTCTTGACACAGAACTGAACCCATATGGGTTGATTCCAATTAGAAATGCAATGTGAATCTGATTTTGAAGTCCATGCCTCTTTTGAAGGTGCTAAAATAACAGTTGGCAAAGACTTTAGGATTATGTAAAGCTTCTGGAAGTAGAAAATGTTTTATGCTTTTTATCTTTTTCCATTATACAAAGAGAATTACAACATTCTTCAAATTGGTGACTTTGCAAAACCTTCATGAAGAAAAATAAAAATCTTTCAGGTATCTTTAAAAAGATAATTGAGCTGTTTGACTTTTCACTCTATCTAGTTATACAACCACATTTTTAACACATCAGGGCAAGCAAGTTTTGCACAATTTTAGTGAGATGTTATTGTTTCTAGATTTATGCAATTTATTTTCACAGATATATTTTACTTAAATCCAAAAGAAGCATTTCCATACTGCTTAAATAATGCAACAGATATAGAATTTACAACCTCACTTGGTAATTTGACTTCAAGTTCACCAAGATGCTACAAGAAGAATTAAGAAGGTAAAGTTATTTGTTCCAAATTAAAATCTTCCTGAAAAAAACATACATTTTAATATACTGTTATCCTTTTCTGAAAGACTTTTATAGTGGACCACCAGAGACAAATCTCCTCAAGGGCTAATAATGATGAAAATGAACATGAATGGCAACTGTATTTTAACTTTACAGGCGATAGCTTTGTTTTCAAGACACTTGTATACATTTCTTATGTAAAGTTATGCCTATTTAAGAGTGTGCATAAATGACACAGTTACATGTAAAAGTATCCCTGAACATTGTGCTATCCATTGTCAAATCTTACAATTATTACATATCAAATATTGCAATGTCTAGGAGCTATACAGACCATATCTCTGCAACTGGATCATTGCAAAATGATTCCACTCATTGGGCCAGTTCTGTTAAAATCTAAATATCAGATCAAGATAGAAGGTCTTGCTACCACAAATCCACACACAGCATAATTTCTTAGAGACAATTTAATATGTTGTAGAGCAGAAATATTATCATCAATGAGTAGTTTCATGACACGTGAGAAATGTCCTGCTCTAACAGCCCTTTTCATTATAGATGTTATGACCTTTCAGCGGGTATGTCACTAACAAAAATGCCATCTGTTTATTTTTCCTGCTGAACAGCACATACATGATGGCTCTGATTTTCTGCTAAAAAAAACCAAAATCAATCCCCAACTATTTTTAATAACATTCCATCTTGTTAAAAGATCATCAGTATCCTAAATTCACCATGTTATAAATAAGGATGCAAGAACCCAAGAACAGGAACATCAGGTCAGCCTAAAGTCTCCCTCTTTCAATGTTCCATCTCCAAGAGAGGGCAACAGCAGAAACAAAGGAAGACTGAAAACAGGCAAGCACAACCCTCCTAGAGATATTCTCCCAGATGCTTTAGAACTGGAAAATATTTGGAATTCCCTTTTTTCCTGCATCTTGGGCATGCCATTCTTGTAGCATCTGTGAAGGCAGAAAATAATCAAGTCTGCATTCCTTAAGAAGGTGTCTTATACACAAAGAAGGCAGGGCAATAAGTGTGGTGTGTAAGGAACGGCCCTCAAATGCAAAGCATGTCTTAGTCTTTTCCATCAGTGGGAGACACACACAAAACCCCAGGCTTTTCTCATATGTACCACATATTCTCATATGCATTACACATGATTACAGGTGTACAATAAGCAAACACTTGTGTAACATCCCCAGAAAATGAGCCACTTCTGCGACTCCTGTAGCCCTGGCATACAGAGCAGAGCTGCCTCAGCCACCCTGGCAGGCTGCTGGACACAAGGAGGGTTAACCAAAAAGGCTGAGAGGTCATTGATCCCTAAATATGGGTATTACCTACCCATATTCATTCACAGAAGAGAAATCAACCCAGACATAAGCGGTTCTTTTCAATGGAAATTGAAATGCTCGGTGTAAACATTTGTTTTTATGAATGTTAGAAGTATCAGAAGGCTTATCATAAGGTTGAATGAGCTGGATACAATACTTAAATACAGAGAAAGGCCTTGAAAGCATCACATCTTCCCAACAGTTCTTTCTTGTCATTTCAAACATGAAAACATCAAAGAAGCTTAGTATAAATTGTGCATTCCAGTCTACAGGTAATTAATGCCTGAATTAAATATGCAAATTGGCAAACCTTCAGTTAGTGTCAAAATAGTATATTATTATAAAGAAACTGTTAGGACTATAATCTGTGCATGTTTTAAGTGCATTTACTGATTAAAATAAAGCTACAACTTTTTATGAACAGGAGGAATATTTTTAGCATTGTCATCTTATTAGGAATTGTAATGAAATACATTAGTATTTCATTAACTGTTAGCATTACACCCGGTGTGTTTTATGCTCTCTGCAGTATTATTTTTATTTCAAAACACAAAGAGAAATTGACTATTTTAAAGTAGGGATTTGGGGCTGCTAAAAAATTAATTTTAAAAAACAACAAAAAAAGAAACCTAACCCTCCAGTTTTCATTTTCAGGTTTTAGTTTAAATAGAAATAAGAACACTTGCCATTTTCAAAAAAGACATGCTTTCCTGATGATACTAGCAGGATATATATTATAACAGTACCAAAAGTAAAATTAATTCTGTTGGGGAAAATCCTCACATTTTTCTAGCTTTAGCTAGTGATTACAGTATTTTTCTTTAATTGTTTATTCTTCTTCCTTGCTAGGACCCATGTCTGCACCCTGCAGGAGGACTAAGGTCTGCTGGCTTCCAGTTAACTGTCATGGTCAGCCCAGCTTTTCTCTAGCTTGTCAAAAGGCAACTGTTTGCTTTGCTATATGTGTTTTCTGCAGCAAGGCACAAGCAAATTGCATGAGCAGCACAATCTGAGGAAACACTGAGTGAAAAAACACAGCAGTTAAAGCCCAGAGTGAAAAAGCTCTTCTGAAATAGACAGGATAAGTGTAAATAATTAGAGGCTGAGGATCCAATACTTATGAATATTATAGATAAAGGACAAATTTGTGACTGGGATTTGGGAGCCTTTAACAGTAAGCTGCAGCTCCAGGGAAACTGCTCTTAGCAGGCCAAAGTCTAAGGAAGGTAGACCAACATTTTAATAGAACAGGATGAAAGAGAGGAATCAAAAGACAAAGGAGACTAGACAAACACAGTTCTAAAACAGATTAAAAAAAATGAAAATCATAAGTAACTGTCTACATCCATGTTGACACAAAAGGTATGTTAATAACCATGAGTCAGCAAAAAGACATATGAGCCCAGTGTATTTGCACAGTTTCTGGAGCTGGCAGCAGTGTGCACAGAATGGATAAAGAGGGAGACAACCACACTAGCCCAGAGACTCTGTTCAAAGGAAGGTATCAGAGCATCTTTTCAAAGAAGGGTGACACTACCAAAATGACAGTCTGAAAGCAAATGGAAGGTTTTAAATTCTACATTGGATAAAGATGCACAAGTCACTGTGGTGCTATTGACACTTTTCCAAGCACTGGAAAAACGTCATGACTGAGTCATGACTGAGACTCAGTGCTGAGACTGTTTTCTTGACCATCACAGAGCCTAAGAATGGGCTATAGCTTAAATAGAAACACTTCAATGTAAGTGTAAACTAGGAAGTCAAACCCTCTGCGAAGCTTGGTAAGACTGGGTCAAGGATTTACTTGCCTTACGTTTCTTCCTGATGGCAAGCATGCAAAAAAAACCAACATGTTCACATACTAAAAGGCATTGTTAAACTTATGTGACTAAGTGATTCCCAATGATGTGGCAAAACTTGATCTCCAGATGATAATCCAAAGAGCTCTGTATCTCTTGTGAGGCCTGTGACATATAACTGACAACCAGGACACATCTGAACTGAACCCTCGGTGTCCAGGGACAGCAATGAGAGCATAGATACTTTGGTTTTAGTTGCCTTTTAAAACAACTTTAGCAGCCTTGATGCATCTTAACTAAGCTTCAGCTGGTTCTTTATGTGCTCTAGAGTACTGAGAGCACTGTGCTGGCACACAGCACACAGTGCATGCTCTGTACAGAGCCAACAAGAACTGCACCCACAGAGAATGACAACTTAAAGCTCTTTAAAAAAGAGGGGAGGCCCAGATATCTTTTATGTTGAGTAACAAAAAGTCTGTACACGTTCTGCAGTTCAATATGCACTTTTCTGAGGTGGTTGTATTATTTGGCCTTCCCCCTAAGTAGCTGATTATCTATATCATCTTCCTTGGTGAATCTGACAAAGTGAAATGCTTTGATATTGGCAGACAAGTGAAAGCACGGGGGTTCACACAGGCTGCAAAGAAGTATGTGTTCAGATGTGGTACCAGAAGCTTCCATTACTCTCAATTTAGAAGAGTCAGAGAGCATCAGAATAACTGAAAACATGCATAAGAGACTGCAGATACAGCTCCTGATCTGTATTTGTCACTCTAAAATGACAGAATGGCAAATGAGACACTTGGTAGCACTTCACTCGGCTGAAAAGCTATTCTTCTAATGTTAGGAATTGAAGTCAGAGCCACGGGGAACTGGAAGGAGCCCAGAGACAGCAAGCCCTGCTGTCTTATAAGCTGGCACATCATAATGAAGATGGCATAATGCATAGCTACCAGCAAACAGCACAGAGAGCACAACAGCTATTCATCCAGTCCCTAGCCATCCCCAGTGCATGCTTTAGACATATAGATGAAACTTCTTCTATGACACCAGAACAGAGAGAATTAAGAGGCACTGAACCAGGGATTTTGCTTGACAAGACATCAAAGAGGTAACAGCCACAAGAGGATCAGCAGGCTAATCTCCAAGACACAAAAATCTGAGAAGCAAAACCAGCTTGGCTATAGTGAGGCGGATCCATGGCACAGTGCAGAGCACCTGAGACTGACAGACCCATTCTGTAACTGAGCATCACTGCTTGGTAACCTATTTATACATGCTTTTTTTGAAATCAGGCAGCAGAACTGTAATTCTGAAAACCTCTGCTCATCAGTCTACAGGCCTGAGGGCTGTGTAACTTACTCTGGGGACTTGGCTTGCAGAGCTCCCAAGCCATTAGAAGTTCTGCTGCTAGGATACACAGGAGCGCCTTGCTGTCCAGAGGAACAAGCCATTTCGTTTCTAGCTTTGCAAGCCTGCCTTCAAAACAAGGCCAATGGGAAAATGCAGCAATTTCAATCTGTCTGTTAATGCAGAAGAGGCATGCTATTAGATGGTAGGATACACACAAGATCCAGTCCCTGTTCCAAGGGACACTGGTTTTAATGCCTTTCAAAGTTAGAGAATTGCTCACTGTCATTCTCAATATGAAAAGATGATGACACAAGAGGACAAGAAATATGTGATTCAGAACTCTGTTAGGTGAGGTGAAACTGAAGCTCTATATTCCATATTTTGTATAAATATCATCCTTCACATATAAGAAAAACATTCACTTTCCTTCACTTTTAGAATAGATGCCACTGGCCAGTATAGGTGTTTGGATTAGACCACAACTACAGTCCAAATTAAGGTGCCTAAGTAAATTGGGACAGGATTTTTAACATATTTTTGTTCTTAATGTAGCTTTTTCTACTGCTAGTTATAGGATTTTCCTGTATAGGATTTTGTGGATCCTATTCAAAAAAAACAAGCACAAAGCACTTGATGTCCAATAGTCTGGACTTCTCCTAGAGATCAGGTGGCATTCATATATGTTAACTTTTGCCTAGTTATGCTAGTCTTCCTAGGCTGTCTCCACAATCAACAGATTTGACAGCAATTCAAAGCAGGATGTTAATTTAGACTATTTTCTTCTATGGCATAGTGATGTCATACATGAAAATGGCCAACAGCTTACGTCTACAGGAGCTGCAAAATGTAAATCATACTGTCAGGCCTACTGCCAGAGGCTGTGAGCATCTGCATCTCTACTGGGAAAATCTTAGGGATCTGCAAATTCAAAAGCATTAAGGACCTCCATTACGGGAGAGATGCAGACCCCTGGGAAAACTTTGGTGAGTGCTGGCACATGCTTCCAGCGAGTTTAAATGACAGGATTTGCTACACCTACATTTTTGTGTGTGTCTGTCAAATCCTAAATGACAAATAAAATTGGAGACTACAGACGAGTAGGGAATTGAACCCAGATTTCTTCCTGCAGATGATCACCTTTCTCTATCAATACATAAGAGCTCTGATGAAAATGATGTACTAACCCCAAAGATTCCACTACAAGGCACTTATGATGGACAGGATAGCGTGGGGAAAAGCATAAAATGTGCCTGAAGAAAGAATTAAATAAAGAGATTTTTCAAATTATTTATGTCCATGAGATATCTTTTACAAATTTTCCAGGATTTTTGCTATTCATGTGCAATGTGTATCATAAATATATATATTCTGTTCAGTCAGAAAGAAGAAAAACAAAGGCTGCAGAATGTATTCAGCATTTTTCTGCTGCAAATATAGTCTACAATACTCAGCCAAGGATAGGTTGCAGGAACATTTCTAATTCTACTAAGCTAACAGATGAATTCTCACCCATTCACACATGGCACAGCCTTACCTGACCCCATCTCACACACACACAAGCTTCTACACAGCTGCTTATGCTTCCATTTCAACTCTGTGACTGCTGCATAAGTTGTTTTTACTGAAGCAATGGCACACAGGGTTGCTTCTTACATGCCAATTTGATACTGCAGGAGATAGTTAAGATATTTTCTTACTGATAAGTGAATTGCTTTTTGAAAATCATTTTAGTGGACAATGAAACAAGTTAGGAGAACTGTGAAAAGTTAAGAGAAGCATGTCACTTTTTAGCATTCCTTTTAATAGGCTAATCAAAATTCTGCAACTAATCTGTAACACTGCACTATGTGCTGGTACACTGAATGACCTATTTGATTCACTCCATTTGCCTATACAGTATGGGATCAGAATAGTTTTACAGTAAAAAGTGCCAAAATGCAAGATAAAACAGGTGCCCAGGGACACAAATAAGACAAATGGCCTAGGGCACTTGTTAAGTGTTGCAGATATGCTTATCTTAAAATACAGGTAATTTGTTTGGTGTGTGGTATTTCAGAATATTACAGAATATTTCAGACATTAAAATTTGAAAATAACAGATTTGGAAATAGTATTAACATATTTGAAAATCAACAGAGACTAAAGAATATATCAGGCAATGCATGTATAAAGGTGAAGCTAGATTAGCAATTTAGAAAAAGAGATGCGGTGAAACATTTTCTTTTAAATAAATAAGTAATGATTTGTTTTTAAACTTGGTGGGATACTGATAAGAATGGCTTTGAGTAATGCAGCACTGGGTGTACTCTTCAGAAAGGGCCATGGCTTGCACACATCCATGCCCATTTTTGACATTTTAATATGGCTGAGAAGGGAAAAGGACAGATGTGTAGCAATATTCTCAGAAATGGAAATTCAAAGACAAAAAAATACCCACTTAAAAAGAAAAAGAGAACCATTCATGACATAAACAGAGTATAAGCACAATTAAATAAAATAGTATAGCTGGAACTCTATAATTCTAACCAACTGCTTTGACAATTTTAAAACTTTAGTGAATTTCAGCAGAAGTTTATCTTTTCTATCTGTTTCAGCTGTTGGGATGACAGAGACATTTAAGTGTATTACAATGAATAAACAAGTAACTGCAGTATTATTGCTATTCAGAAAGGGGAAAGTAGGACAATTTGTAGTTGTTACAAAACACAAGATAAACTCTGCTTGTAAACAGCAGGCCCACTGGGAAAGCAGAAGCAGAAAAATATTTAAGTAAATTTTTAGTAAAATCTTGTAAGTATTAGCAGATGATACATATTAGTCATTCTTTAACTTACTAAACTTCCCTGAAAATTGGGGGGGTTTATTTTAAAATAATGAAGTGCCAGAAAACTACAAAAAACATGCTATAAGTTAATGACTTGGAACAGAGGAAACAAAGAAATGTTGACACAGAATCTCTGCTGACAGATACTCAGTGATCATAACTGAAGAGAACTTGAGCTGGATTTGAAAAGAGTTGTAAGCCACAGCTTTAAAAAGGATATAGCTACAAACCATCCCTAAATAAGAATCTTCTGAAACATTTCCTCTGCAAATGGTTTGTTCTAAAATATTATCCAGATTCTATAGCCTGAAGACACATAGCCAATATTCTGTGGATAAATTAAAATTAATTGGGAAACTGTCATAGAAGTTATTTAATAAATAAAATTATTTAAAACTACTTACAGGTAGCAAACAGAAAAATCTTTTAGGTTGGATGGAGCTTTGAGCTGGTCTAGTGAGTAGAATCTCTGACCATGACAGGGGAGTTGGAACTGGATGAGCTGTAAGATTCCTTCCAACCCAAAACTTTCTATGATCAGTGATTCAGTTATGTATGTTTGGCTTTCAATCTGTTTAGGATGGCTGGTGAATATCAGTCTTTCTGCAGTCTATAAAATCAGACAGAGATATAGAAACTAGAGTTGTTAAACAAAAATTATTTACCATGTTCACAGGTACCTTTAAGAAGAAATGGAAGGAAAATGAAGCTTGACAATCCAGGGGCTGGTCTGAGGATTCGGTTGGCTTCCCTCAAAAATATATTATCAGCAGCAGATTGCAGAGCAGATGGAAAAGAACTAGACTTCAAGCAATGTACAAATTATGAAATTGAGGAGATTGTTTCTTTACCATAACTGTATATAAAGAACAACTGTGTCTGGGGCCAGTCTTTTGACAGGAGCTGGCATGTAATCGCAGCAGAGGGTTTCACATGGAAAACACAGCAAAGAAGACAGCCTGTTCTTCCACTCCTTGGCTGACAAAGCAAACACCTTTGCTGTGACTTCTTAACCATCCAACGGTTGATACCAGTCCAACACTTGATATAACTTTGCTCTGTATTGTACTGACTGCTTTATTTTCTGATCCCTACAAGACTCAGCATTTTAAATAAAATTACCATTGAAGTACAGAGGGAAAAGTGACAGAAGGTTTTTATTGATCTTACTTTCAAATCAAGAGCTCTCTATTGCAGACTGCCCATTTAACAATACAGTCTTCTTTTAATGTCTTGAAAATGAGTTATCAGAAGACAGACACATCAGAACCACACACTGCTCAGGTTTTTGCTCTGCCACTATCAGTTGTAATACAATTGTAAGACATACAAATGAAGAAAACACAAAATTTGTGGTCTGAACTTTATTGACAAGAATATTCTCCTAATTTTCCCTACGGAGTAGCACATCTTCAAACAATAGAGAGAAAGAGAGAGATGTATGCACGTGCCTTTTTGACACCTAGACACTAAGCTTTGATGCTTTTGGCTACATTTTTAAGGACAGTTAGTTATAAATAATACTGAGTTTCATCTCAGCTACTTAAAAACTTCTCAGTTTCAGGTAGTAATTCTAGGATTCCCTGGAAGAGTCCACTTCTCTCCAGAGTCAATGAAGAAGAATAAGCACTTTACAGACATAACTAATCTGATTTATCTTAAACATCTGCACTGGGTCTGGCTGAGATGGAGTCAATTTTCTTTAGAGCAACTTGTATGGTGCTGTTGTTTAGATTTGTGACCTAAAGAGTGCTGATAACACACTGATGCTGCCTACCTGTCAGCTTACCTTGTTCACATGCAAGAACTCTGAATCAGATGAATAATCTTCTGGGGATTTCAGTTCCATTAAATGTAAAAGTAGTTAGTTAAATGCAAACTCATCTTTACTGGATTCTTAAACTATGAAATATGACTAAATATGGATTTTTATAGTTTAAGACTGGCACAGTTCAGATTTCTAGAGTGCAGGTCTAATATTCCTTGTAGGCCTCCACATACCCCAAACTGCAACTAAAACCAGTGACTTCAGTTAAAATATGTACTCTGGAAAATCCATTCTAACTGAAAAAAATTACCTTTAAACTTATACATAAGATTGAAAAATACGTTTCTAAGTCATGTGAAAGATTACATGATAAAATCTTATCAATAAAAAACCTTTAAAAGAATGAGCAAACTTCAATTAAGATTTTATTAAAATGTTATGTTAAATCTAAAGTTGAAAAGATGACAGCAAGACAGATATAATTAAATAAACTGTGGAGTAAATATCTTTGTCTGATGCTTGATGTGGAAAACATTGCAAAATGCTACTCTTCAGTTTGGTCCAGAAATAGTTTTATACTGACTGATAGCTATCATCCACATGTTACTATCTAAAGCAAATGGGGTCCTTAATGAAGATACTTTGAGATCTTTACCTTGGATGTGTCCAACTTCAGAAACGCCACCAATGTATTTTTCAGTATTTCCTGAGTTTATTTTTTGGTTATATGGGGGATTTTGTAACTAAACTGATATTCTACACTGCAAGAAGCAGAAGGTTTCTGAATGTCTTGGCAGAGTAGTTCCACACTCTCCTCTCTGCTCAGGAAAAACAGTGCAAAAATTCTCCCTGCATTCTGAAACCAGCTGAAGCCATGAGAATGCTTAGAAGCAGATAAGATCAAATACAATTCTTCAGGTAAAACCAAGTATTTTGAACCTCATACAATAATATTTGGTCTTTTAAAGGAGAAGATAGAAATAGTAAACAGCTCACTTTCAAGCAGCAATGGTCGCACCACTATGAAGGACCAAGGCAATAAAGTAATGTGAGTCATTATCAAATCAATATAAATTAGTCGCTACAAGAAGAGTATGATTAAATGATCATATATCTGGATTTTAAAATCTCCTTTTTAATTAACATTTATAGGCAATTTACCTTAAACTTTTATTATTTTCAGAAATAATTATTTTTCTAGTCATATTTCAGATATATCTCCCACTTTTTTTAAAATGTCTTTTTCACATGCTCTCATGAACAAAAAAGTATATGTGTATCTACATAGAGCTTTAAATCAGACATAATACTGCACATCTCCTTTGTTACATGCATTGGCTCTGGTTGAGATGGACTTTATTTTCATTTCAGCAGCCCATGCAGTGCTGTGCTTTGCATTCACAGCTACAGGGGTGATGGTAACACACTGATGTTCTGGTTATTGCTGAGCAGTGCTCGCACAGCCTCGGGGCTGTCTCTCCAACCCACCTCTCAGAAGGCCAGCAGGCTGTGGGCAGGAAAGAGGTTTGGAGGGGAAAGAGCTGGGGCACCTCATCTGAACTGACTCAAAAGATATTCCACACTGTATGCATCAGTCATAAAGGGGAGGGTGGGAAGGAGAAGGGAGGGATATTTATGGTTATGGTGTTTGCCTTCTGAAGGAATTGCCATGTGTACCGATTCCCCACTTCCCAGAAATACACTGGACATCTATCTGTCTGCTGGCATGAAACAGTGAATAAATTTCTTCTTTTTTTCTTCCCTTTCACATGTGTCTTTTGCTTTTTTTCATTAAACTGTCTTTACCTCAACCCATGATCTTATCCATCTTATTTTCTTTCTGTCCTCCTGAGGATGGGTGCTGGCAGCCATCCAAAATCAGCCCTCCTCAATATATTCTGTTCATATTGACTTTTAGTAACAAAAAGAATTCATAACTGATAAAGTAGTAAGTACTCTGATTTAATATTAATTTAAATATTCCTAAGAAATTTTTCAAATACAAACATAATTCCAAACTTCTGGTAGGATTTTCAGAGATCCCCAGCATCTACATTAATCATATGTATCTCTCAAATGCATACTATTAAAATAAATAAGACTAGAGATTGTTAAAAAATTAATTATCTTAATTTGCTAATATCAATTGTTTACCAAACCAAACTGCTCCATAAAATTTAATTTTCATATTTTTTCCAATTTCTCTTAATCTAGATAGAAGTACTGCATCCTTACATGTAGATTAACTTTGTATCATCCTCTTCTGGCCACTGTCTGGGATGTTTATACCACTTACATCCTCAGTTTAAAATTTATGAAGCAGAAAATTTCACAATTATATTTATGATAAATGTGTCAACCTAGTGAGAAATTTTAACATTAATACGACAATGCAGATGAACTTCAAAATCTCTAAAAATAAGTATCACCATGTCCATGAGTTATCTCCTACAATGTTTAAAGAACATTTTCTTGTCTTTGTTTGAAGCCTGTTCAGTCAGTAATCCGTCACATTTGTGAACTTAAATCCCATTTCTTGTTCTGTACTGCAAATGAAAACAAAATCCTCTGCTAGATAAGAGAAAAAAGAATGGATTGTGACACTGTCTCTTTTGATTTACTGGTTGTACAGGCACACTGTGCATTACACTGAGTCATCTCTTTCATTTCCCCAAAGATTGTATCTCAGAACTGGCAGGAGATCTCCCCCTTGCAGGAATTCAGTTCCACTTTTTCATATCCAGTATTATACTGGAGGGGGGTCATTTACCAACACTCAAAGTCGATGGATTTTTACTCTTTTCTGTAGTGACCAGAACTCAACTGTTCTACAGGTGATCCTTTATTCCAAATAAAAACCCAGACAAGTAACACTGCAAACGAATGACTTTTACATATTTTCCTATATTTATACTTCTCATGAACACACAGAATAATTTAGATTAAAAGAAAACTAATGCTTTAGGTTGGAGATGACCTAATGCAAACTCCTGCTCAACTCAGGGTTGATTTCAACCTGAGCAGGTTGAGGAGTTGTTGAGATCTTCCCTCAGCAGCAGAGCACAGCCAACACTGTTGCTGAGGTTGGAGACTTCCACAGCTGCTGTGGTCAGAGGGGAGGAGTGGCACAAAGGAGAGCCACTGCTGAGCTGAATGTGCCACCTGGGAAACTGTTAAGAGTTTTATTAGGAAAAAAACACAAATATTCCTGACCTTTTTAGCTTGGATGACCAATTTCAGGAAGACTGACAGCAGCAAGAACTCCAAAAGTTTACTCCATGTTCTGCATACTTTAAATACTTTTCAACTGATCAGATTTAGAATGACAAAGACAAATACTATTAATCTAACTCTGAAGTAAAAGTTATATCTCTTTTTTTTAATCTTTTATTTTTGTCAGAAGTGTATCAGTCTGCTATGTTTTTGTGGGGGGTTTTTGTGATAAGTATTTTGAACTAATGAAAAAATGCACTCACTTTCTGAAAATTTGGGATGAACTACATTCATCTTGGAAGTAATCATGTTGTTAGATAAAGAAAAACACAGCTGAAAGTACAACCAAATGTGTTAACTGGTTTTGCACCGAGAAGGCCACAGAGAATTCTTATTAAACAAGGATTTACTAACAGAACAATAAATAAAAAGCTATAGTTTTGGATAGTAAAGAAGAAATCTTCACTGATCAGTTAAATTTGTCTTTAACTGAACGGTTTAAATAGAGAGCAATTATAATTTTTTTTTAAGTATGTACTTTTCTATTGTCCTTAAAGGAAAACAAGACTTTGGCATTAGTTTATCACACTGTCAGGAAGCTTTCCTAGGGCTGAGAGAACTTCTTAACAGACCACTCAGGAGTGAAAAACCCTGCCACTGATGAAGAGCATATGGGTGTCCTCCACAGGACAGTTGGATTCTTAATGTGGTGTGGAAATGATACATTTTTATTAACTTTTCCAACACACTTTTTCACCTTGTGCTCTCTCTAACCTGTTGCAGGCTTGACAATATCTGGCACAGCCCCATTCTGTAGTGTGGCTGGCTGTGACTGTAAGCATAGTGCTGCCTTCCTGCTGGAACTCTGGGCACAGAGAATTTCATGCTTTCTGTGCTGACAGGCACAGACCCACAAGAGAACACTGTGTTTGACCTGAGGTCATGGAAAAGGCTTCCAAAATTGATAGATAGAACTGAAACTGTGCTTGTGTAGTTTGAATAGAAGTGTGTTATATCACTTGCTGGAAAATTTAGACTTTAAGGTTTTATAATATAGTAATATATATGTAACAAGATGGAGGTTTTAGCTTGCCTTGTTCTTTCACCTTCTTTTTCTTGGGTTTTAGGTAATATTGTGTGATTGGATAGAAAA